ACCCGAAGAAGAGGGCGGAGAGAGTGGTGTCAGAGACGGACACAAAGACACAGAAGTGGAGGACTTGAGGACAGAGAGGACTCCAGTGATCGACATATCCCTCAAACCGATGCCTCTAATGATCGCCCGTTTGTCTGCATTGAAGACAATTGTGACAAACGATTCAAACGGAAATCACATCTTAATGGACATAAATATTCCGTTCATTTGAAACTCAAAAGAATCAAATGTGATGTCGAGGGTTGCGATCAGCGGTTTGCCCAGAAAGACGGATTAATCAAACACAAAAGTTTCGTACATTTAAAAGTCAAGGCATTCATCTGTGATGAGAAAAACTGCGGCAAACCTTTTGCGCGAACATACGATTTAAATGTCCACAAACGGGTCCACTCGGGAGAGAAACCTTACGCTTGCGATGGAATGGATTGCGGCAAACGATTCGCACAGAAATCACAGTTACATCGACACAAAAATATCATTCATTTGAAACTCAAGTCATTTGTTTGTAATGAAGACAATTGCGGCAAACAATTCACCTCAAAATCCACTCTCAATGAACACAAAAATGTCGTTCATTTAAAGATAAGAAATTTTGTGTGCAATGAACACAACTGTCAATACAAAAGTGCCACAAATAGTGATCTAACAAAACACAAACGCATTCATACGGGAGACAAACCATACGTTTGTGATGAAGTTGGTTGCAAACTCGGATTCACCCGGATATCGAGTTTAAATGAACACAAAAATGTCGTGCATTTGAAGCGCAAGAAGTATGTGTGCGATGAATATAATTGCCGACAAAAGTTTGGCCAAAGATTACAACTTAATCGACACAAACTCATTGACAGCGGAGATAAACCATAAGTTTGTTATTTACTGTATTTAATAAAAAAAATTGATTTCACTTTAATAAATGATTTTTTAATTACAGGTAAACGCTATGAATCTAATGAATATTTGACTCATTTTATTCATTACTATTAAAACCCTTAATAACAGCAATATTTCTAATTATATCCCAAATCTTATGCATCACTTAAATTAGGTATAAATTAAAAACATTTTTTATTATCATCAGAAAAAATCACATTTATATAAATTCATTGTAATTACAATAAAAACTTTTTCATAATAAACTCAATGTAAACGTCATTTAAAGAGACGTTATTTTTGTCACACATTTCCAGTGTTTGTGTTGTTTTGAACGCAAACCCAATGTTTTGACATTTAATTCACGTCTCAATCAATACGTTAATAAGTTCTTCAGCAACGGATCCAATGGCCAATCGCCTCGATGTGACATCGGATCAGTTGACACAACTGTCTCAGGTGTCGGCTATGATGCAGACCTGTGGCCGACACGTGGATCAACTCATACGAGACAATCGGGCGCTTAAGACAGAGTTGGACACGAAGTCCACGCAATTATCCGCAGCCATGGATGAGAACCGCTTTCTTAAGGGGTATATCAAGACATTGGAGGCGAAGACTCGGGTCCATAGAGTGGACATCAATGTTGGCAGCGGTGGCGGTGGTGTTGATGGCTATGGCGCTGATGGCGACCAATGGGATGACTGCGACTCGTGGGACAGTCTGTCGGATGAACTGTTGG